GGATGAGTTTTGTTTGCGATCTTGACACCTCTGACTCAGCAATGTGTGACGCTCATGCAACCCACTTACAGGAATCCGTTCCTGAAACATGTAGGTCCTGCACCAATTATTTGATAGAGATGGAGAGCAATTTGTAGTGAACTATAAAGCCTCAGCTGGAATTTCACCTGCACTTTAACACCTGTTCCTACAGTACTTTACACTTCCCATACTCCTGACACGCTGCAGTTTCCTTATTCAGAATATTGCAAAAGAAGAAAAAAAATAACTAAGCCCTCCTTCTCATCATGCTCACTTCTCGGGTGAAGAAACAATTATCAGTGCTTTCTATTTCTGTATCTGTGCTTTCAAAATACGTACACAGTAAAAATGCTTTTATGTTTAAGGAAGTTTCACCTTTGCTCTAATTTCGGCATCCCTTTCAGGCAGGATTTGCCTTATTTAGACAGCCAAAGACTTCTTTAGTGCATAAAAAGAAGTACTGTAATGTTATCTGTTCATTCTTAAAGTGGGATTAATAAATTCAGCAGTAAAAAAAAGTAATCTTCTCCATATCCTCTCCATTAACCTGGTCAGCAAGCTTCTCTCACCACAAGACCAGCAACTGATTTCTGTGAGACTGACTCAAATCTAGTTGATCAAATTGAAAAGAAACCATGCTTTCACAATAAAATGAAGTAACAATAGCTACCAGCATTTGGGAGAGGAATTAGCTAATAAACATATTTAAGGAATGTTGAGAATGACTTTCCAAAGTTTTGAAATAACAGACTTGGTTGCAAATTTTTCTTTTGAGGGTAAGAAGTTATTGGTTTTGAAAGCGCCTGTAATTATTCACGCAAGCATCATCCTATCAACCTTATTTCAAACAAATGATTCCAAAAAAAATGGGCCCTTTTAACTTATAAAAATTTTCCTATTTAACCTAGTAAGAAGCTAAAACCTTGTGATGCTTAAGAAAAAGCTCTCTCTGGCCTGTAGGTCTGGATTGTAACATTGCATGAGATAGGGCACAAAACAAATTGTGCTCTGCCTCCTTCGGACCAGAAATGTGACTCCTTGTCTCATACATCCACCACACAGTATCTTCAGGTCTCTTAACCTGACTCTTAGCTATATGTTAAGCCCAAGCCAAATTAACTCAACTGAATCCTGTTTGCCCTTCAAGATATACATATGCAACAACTGCACAGCTGCACGTGGCCCTTAACATGAGGATTATGCAGGATCAGCCGACACACAGATTTTAGTTTGCTCCGAGCAGTACAGAAACAATTCACACAGGTGAGCTCTCTGTATGAGTTTAAAAGCAGACACACTTACAACAGTCACAAAATTGACTTTGGACCAAGGCCTTAGAAGCAAACACCAGATATGAACTGACTTTCAACTGTTCAAAAGAACTAAATTCCCACAGAAAAGGGGAAACAAGGGACAAAGACCATAGCAACTTCTGAGACAGGGAAGAGAGAGATTTGCCCAAGGATACAGAGCCAATCTTGAATGAAGTACACCACAATAATCTGGCCTGCCCACATGCAGTTAGAATGTTACTGAACCAGACTGAAAAAAACAGGTATTCGTATCAGAAACATTACAATACAAAGGAGAAAAATAGCTCAGCCCACATATAACATATCCATGCAACAAAGAACAACTTCATTGAAATTGCTCTCAAAAGGCACACTGCTACCTTCATGCAGATCTATCATCTGTTCAGATTTGAGATTCCAATAAACCAGACATGCTCTGACCAATCTCATTTCTTGGAAACAGGTACTCCTGAGCCCAGCTGGCTGACTTGTGCAGGCATGCCGGTCGCTGCTGTCGTATTGCCGCTACATGAAACGTTCTGGCAAGCTTGCAACTATCAGCAAGCCCAAGAAGCCAAAAGTGCTGTTCTCAGTAAAAACAAATGAGCTAACTATGACTTTTCTCTTTATTTTATGCAATTTCAGTGTAAACATAAGCTAGGGCAGTGTCCTGACAAAGCTGACAAAAAAAAGTAACTGAGCCAATGCCATCTGACACACTGTAGCTCAGCCGCAAGAGATGCACTGTTTCTTCCAAAATTATTAGGATAGTAACAGAAATATATTTTACCACAATGATTTATTAAAAAGGGAGACAAAAAAAAAAAATCTAAAGCTACTTTCTGGAATAGCTCATGTAGACAAAGGCCAATGGTGATTTGTTTCTCCTAGACACATATTGGTGTTTGTACTGGACCTCAGGAGAAGGCTTGGAAAAGCAAGAAAAAATAAACCATAATCCATGAGGAAGTATAGAGAAGGAAAGCAACAAAATTAAAATATTTTAAACATATCAAAGAATAATTGTGATCTTGGCATTGCAAAATTTCTTTAAAATGAAAGGCTGGTCCAATAGTTTAAGACTCGGAAGAATCAGAGAAGTCACTTGTACATCAGTTCACAAACATTCAATTAATAAAAGGCCAGCACAGTCCCATCCCCTGGGAGCACTGCGGAGATAAATATATTAATGATTGCAAGACTCTTCAATTCTCCACTGAGGGGTCCACTTCAGAAATAATACAGCTAGACGGAATTAGTGAGTACCAAGAGTGTACCATTAACAACACTGTTTCCAAGTAGCCTATTGACTTCTCCGAAATGTTTGGCCTGTAGCAAACCATAACAACAGACATACAAGCCACAAAGGATTTCATTATAATTTTTAACTTCAGGACAAAAAAATGGAAAAATTCTCCAGAGCCTCATCAGCAACGACAAATCATCAGTCTGTGCAAAGTAACTTCAGTAGAAAACATGGCATTGCAGCTAATCTGGCTCAATTCCTTTTTAAACCCAGAGTCTTGAGTTTCTGCAAGTCACCAACTCACTACAGAAAATATTTTCTCGTTTCCACAATAAGCAAGCTGCACAAGTAACAGAAGTTGCACACATGACAGATTAAATAGAGGGCAGCACAGTCTAGAGGTACACAAGCTCAACTCACTGACTTCTGCCACCTGCCCTGCCTTGTCCCAGCATGTCCATCCCCTTCCTGCCAGACGCCATCCTCCCCTTCCAAAAACCAGAGCCCTCTGGGAAACAAAGGCTAAATTATGACACTTCTTTCAACCCCACTCTTGAACTTATAGCTCCACAGGGCTGGATTCAGCAGGGCTGTGTGCTGTTCTGGAGAGCAAGCATCTCCTTTTTCTTCCAAGTGGTCTGGAACACCTTTGTCCTGTGGAGGAGAGAGCTGTACAGCACAAATCCACCACTGACTAAAAGGGAAGAAGAAAGGGCTCCCCAAGCAGACTGATACAGAGGAAAAGGGGATGCGTGCTGAGGAGAGCGGGAGGTGCACTGCAGATCAACTACAGAAGCACAAGTCTGGGTAAACTAACAGCTCTCAAAGTCCAACTTCATTTGAGCATTTATGGTTCACCAAGTATATTCTGCACAATCTCCCTTTCTCTATATTACACAAGACCACGAGACACATTACATTTCTTGCTTAGCATTTACCCAAAGTAATTTTAAACCACATGATGGTTCACAGTCTGAAATGAGAACAGGTGTCAAGGAGCTGCTTTGAGTGAGCAAAATCCCAAAAGTCCCAACCAATGCACAGAGCAGGAAGGGGGTGAGAGGCTGGTGAAAACAAATGAAATAGCTGTAATTCCATTCCTTCTCAACAATACATTTGCCTCTTCATGTGTGAAGAAAGACCTTCAAACATCTCTCCATTGCTCAAACACACCTGCAGTTTGCTACAACTGAAGATATTGAGTCTCAGACAGCCTGTTCATGTTTAGAGTCTGGAATGCTGCATCTGTACTTAGCTTCTCCTCGTATCTGTCTGCTGGGAAAAACCTTTAATCAAACACAAGATGTTTCAAAGGTAATCTCATACCACAAAGCCACCTGCAAACCAGCCAACAATCCTAGGCAACGGCTGCCACCTAACGCTCGGGAAGGCAACTGCACTCACTGAAGGAAGAGACAAGTTTCAGTAAATCAAGCAACAATTTCTGTTTAAAATTCTCCTCCATGCCCTCACAAACAATGCACTCTCTTAGGAAAAAAAAAGAATTCCAACAAGGACATATTTCCAGTACTTCATATTTATCTGGTGCTTTACAACTTCACACTACTACAGAAAGTAATCCCTTTGTAGTTATCATTTATGCAGAACAGCAGGGGAGAAAAACCACTAAGGCGCTGATCATAGTGTGAAATCCCAGCCTCACAGTGAACTATCATGACAGAGGCAGGTCAGATAATTTCTGAAATACACTGTCAAGATAACTCAAAAGATTTTGCAGCTTAAGTTTATAATTCATAATATCATCTATTAATCTCTTTAATCTGCACAGAGCCAAATATCCTTTTGGGTAGGAAATATCACTGCAAGTTTAATCACAGATGGAGAAGTGAGCTTGCCAGCCCCTTGCCCTGTACGGACTAGAACTCTGCTTATACGAGGCAGCAGTACAGAGTCTTTTCCACCACTGACCAGTCAGGCTTTCTGCGCACTGCTAGCAATAACAAAAAAGCTTGTATTTCCATCTATACAAACTTTAATTATGCCACACCTGTAAGAAAGGCAAGATACCCTTGGAGTTTTATATAAATCAACTGTGCATTTCCTCTGCCATACTATTTACAATCCAATGCAAAAAAAAAAAACCAAAACCAAAACCAAAAGCTCTCCTCTTTCTTCCACACACACAGTCTGAGGCTGATTATTTTCTACTACAAAGATCATTAGCAGGATGACAGTGAGAGGATATCAGGTCTCAAATCCAGATGCCTTCTTTTTTTTTTTTTAAGCTAAAAAGAGATCCTTAGTAAATCTCTACATTAATTTCAGCAAAGCTAATCTCACAAATATCACACTTCGAGATAGCACTCCCGTTCAACTTCTTTTGCCTTCATTAAGGCATTTTTGTTTCTCCCACACATTAAATAGCAAACTGAGCATAAGGAAAGCAAAGACAACATGTGAATATACCCATCATTACTTACTTCTCCTGTGATTGGATTGGTTCCGTATTTCTTTATCCAAGGAATAATGCTCCTGAAAAGAGAAGGGATAATGTAATAAGTGACAAGCATCATCAGAAACTTCTACCGATGGGCATGATTATTTTTGCCAACTTGCTAAGATCAAATTATGATCACACAGTTGTAATCAGTTCAGCAACACAAAAATAAAGCTAAGTACAGACAGTAACTTACAGTATGTCAAAGACTGTCCCATCTGGTGTGCAAACTGGGTATTCAAATGGCTGCAGAGACAAACTAGAAAAAAAAGTACACATTCTTTTTAGCAAAATCAGCTAGAAATCACGATGACAGAAGGAAACAACATTTTGCTGATTTACTTGCACATTAAAGCAAAGCCTATACCAACATGAAAATACTGAGTAGCTGCCAATACCCACTACCTGATTCTACATAAATTAGGTTAACAACAAAATCCATGACAGGAACTGATGCAGTTCAGTAACGTGTAGCTGCCAGCACTCACAGCCATAGAGCCACGGGATAATGTAATACTCCCCAGCCCACCTCTGTTGCCACATTGGGCCCCATCAGGACAAAAGATGGTTCAAGCAGAAACACTCACTGTCTTTGCTCTGAAACGGGCTAGGGAGTAACTGGCAATCACATTCAGCATCCCCTGTTAGGGATGCTTCCATAATCCAGTCAGCTTTTAGCCAGGCAGCAGTAGTTCATAGATGTGGATGGTAACTTCTTGAACTATTTAATTTATAAAAGGATTTCTAACCCACCTCTACTAACTCCTCTCTTTCACTCCAGCACTTCAAGCAGTAAACTCTAACCACAAAAAATTAGCATAAATCTTCCTTCAATCTACCTAATCACTGCCTCAGAAAAATGAGTGATTGACCAAGCATCTTCTGAGAAAGGAAATGTAGATTCAAGCCCCAATTACACAAATTTGAAAGACTGGAATGTAGACGATAATTGTTCTGAATTATTTTATCACTTGTGTATTATTTTAGCCATTAGCTCCAACCTCTGCAGACACTAATCATGGAAAGTATAGATAGTTTCATTTCTTACTGGATTTTTCCTTGCTGCATTACCGTCATAGCAGGCGCAAGTCAATGAAAATAACTACCTTGGAGGAACAAGGCTTCAGTAACAGTTCATTGTCAACAGCCTGATAAACAGATGCATCATTTAATAATGATAATGTAAATTTGCTGTCTTACCTGCAGTGATCAAATGATAAACGTCTAAAATTAGTTCGTGGAAGGTCTGTTTATGGAAAAAAAGCCACAACAGAATTTTAATAAATACATGGTATCCTAGGTAACAAAGAAACATTTGAAAGTTACGTTTGCTCAATACATGGTGGCAATCTACTGATGACAAGGATAAGCACACTAAACCTCGCAAGACTGTAACTAAAATCGGACTTCTCCTGCAGAGCACAAGTACGCTCCTCGGCTGAAATTACACAATCAGAAAAAAAATCAAAACAGAGCTCTGACAGAGAGCGCTGAGGTGAAATTTGACGATTAACACTTTAACCATCTTCAAGCTCTGTCCTACCAGCTGGCACAGAACTTGGTGAAGGCAGGGACAGCTCAGCTGAGCGATAAACCTCGGATTTCTGCCAGCTTCACGCTGATCAGCACCAGTGATTTTAGGACCTGCAGCTGCACAGCC